AATTTTCACTACTTGAGGATGCTTGCTTATAAATATGGCATAAGGCTACTCGTGACCCTCTTGTTCTTCAGCAAAAGAAAAGGTTTTTTTTTTTTTATAGTAATTTTCCATGTAAAACTTTGCCCCTCCCCCCCCAATGTGGCCCTATACTATCACCCAGGAGCCATTTGAATTTATCATTTTAATGTTCAATTGATAAATAATAGTCATACAAGATTAGGTTAGTAATGGTTGAATGTTTGCAAGTTATAAATATTGTCTATACGACTTTTTGGGACAGCCCTTGTAAACTAAAAAAGACCGGAAAAATGAAAGTCTTTGTATCCGACTGTCCAATCCTCGGGTAATTAAAAGACCCGCCTAAAGTTTAGATTCTTTTTAGCCTCTGGGGCTCGTAACATAAAGCTGTTAAGATAGGGACATAAGTATGAATTAGATGCAGTCTTATTACCTGCCTTAGTACAGTGCTGCTTAAGTAAATCTTATGTCATAACATAAAACGAACTAAGCGAGGTCTTAGCTAAGTCAAATTAATGTACACAAAATCCATTACGAATCCTCCTGTTGTTTCATTATATTTACGTAAAATGATGAAAAATTATCATTGAAAGATGACTTTCATTTATCAATGGACGCAATTGACCACTCCTACGTTTTCAGTTTATCAATTGTCTCTACCGGTACTTCAATGTTCAATCGCTTTGTCGTTGTCGAGACTTGGTCCGAAAAACGAACTTCTTGCTATTTGCAATAAATTACAGTATTGAAACTCGTATTAATTTCAAGAATTACAAAACATTAGAGAAATTCTGATTTCTTATTAATCTTATAAGTATAAGCGAATGTCAGCAAGCAAAGACTATGGACGTTTTATGATATAGTTATTTACAATTCAATCAAGAGATCGAGGAGTATTTGTTTGCAAAATATATTTTTGTCTGTCCCAAACTTATAAACAGTCTCTTCCTCTCTGGGGGTGGGGTGGGGAGGAGTTGTAGGGTTTTTTCACCCAAAGTATTCATCATTGAAAGCTTCAGTTATGTATAGTGTTTTGTAGCAAATTTATAATAGTTGATTTTCAGATTCCGGATTGTTATCATGATCATAGCTACCTGTTATTAATTTTCTATTTAGCTGTTTAGTCTTATCTATTTGTAAGCTAGGACAGTTTATTGCTTTTTAATTATAGTGATAATTAGTTAATCACAGGTGGTCATTGTTTAATGTTATGTATTGCCTCCCCACTTAGAGGAGGTAGATTTTTCACTCCCCACATTGTGGAGGCTCAGTATAGTATATAAGGGAGCGAATTTGAACAGTTAAAGTAGTTGCAGTTGCAGTTGTATAGTGAATTATTGTAATATCAGACAGAATGGATTTAGACAGGATAGCGGGAGTTTAGGATTTTTATATATTCATCTGGATTATTTTACTATTATTTCTAATGTGAAGTGTGGACTATATATGTGTAAATGTTTTGTGTAGATATGTAAATAAATTAGTGAACTTTTATGCGGACTTCATAGTCATTCAGCACAATACTGAGGAAAGATGAGAATTTAAGTAAAAACCGCTCGGACAGTAAATGTTTATCAACTCAGCAGTTTAAGTTGACTCCCCCGCAGCTCGGCCTGCGCTACAGTTTTAAATACAAAATTAAATAGACGTCATTCCTCACCTATTCAAGGAAGTAGATTTTGTATTGAAATAATTCCGTTATAATTTGAAACAGATATAGCACACAGGTGCTTGTAGACAGGAACACCCCCTACACACACATACATATAAATATAAACGCAGGACGCCTGCGGGGATTTGTTTTCTTTTGGGGGGGGGGGGGGGGAGGAGGTAGGGGATTGCGCCCTAATTTTTTCCGTACGTGCTGGTGATATTCCACGCTGTATCTACATATAATTCAAAACCATTGTTTATTAGGTTTTTAGTCATTTTCCTCTAACTCACCTGCAATATCTCTGACTTTTAATGACCCTTTTCTTTCTCAGATTTTCAACAAATCCACCATTCTTTGCACAACTGTTTACCTAAAATGAGTACTGTTTATAAACTATTAAGTATCCCACAATAATTTAAAATTACGTGTATTCCATGTTGTGTGTGTTATACTATTAAGTTCAATGTTAATTAATCATCTGGTTTTCAATCGAAAATCTATATACCGGTATTATGTACATGTAGTAGCCATACAGTTTTATATACATTGTATAGTATTCCCTTTAACTGAAATAGTACAATATTATTGTTGAAATGAGCAGTGTCATTTACAAATTGTTATACTATCCATTGGCATATCTTTTCTTTATTATTGTAATAATTTCATATACTTGTCTGTTATGGGCTCTGAATTAGAAAATAAATGTTCTGTTCTGTTCTGTTATATATCTAGATATATATTTATTTTGTTTAATGCATAATGTGAATGGATGAATGTTCTATAATGCAGTCAATAAATATTTCCAAATATGTGTAATGGTATAATTTAAGATATATATATACTTAGTCAGTTCTATACTAAGTTTTGCTTAAATTATCAAATCTTAACACACCTTAAGTTATGGTCTTAAGTCTAAGAGGGTACTTAAGTCCTACTTAAACATGGTGTTAGACTTACGCATCCTTTATATGTAAGGACCTCCAGGTCCCAGTGGTCATTAAATCTACCTTATAGAATATGTCATTTGTCGACGTAATCGTGACGTTATTCTTAAAAGGAGGTTCTATTTTTGCAATGTGGAGTAACATTCGTGATTTATTCAGGATTTGTGTTGGTTAGTTTGATCCTACTTTCTCTAGAGTTATTCATTATTAATATAATATGATTGTTTAATATGAAACCATTTCTGAAGTCCAAAATCGCAGTCTCATGATGTTTTCCTTTTTCTAAGGCCATCTATAGGCGAATCTGGTATCTTTCCTGATGTATCTATACCCTCTTTAAAAATAAAACAATTCCAAACTCATTTTTTCTAACGTCATATCTCATGGACAAGCCGTTTCCTATACATAACCCTTTCTATCCAGTGTTTCGGGGATAGGGTGTGTCAAAGTCGTCTTTTAATTAATTCTTCGCACCTGCAGGGGTATAGGGCCTTTACAACAACTTTCAAATTGTCTTGGACTGCACATTTCAACTCTCCCCAGGAATTCGGATTGATGTTAACTCCGTAATTAAAGGGTCTGTCTCCAAGTTGTTGCTGGTCGCCCCATGTTCCTGTTGCCCTGTTGGTTCCAGTCCAGGGCATGCCTTGTGATGTTATTTTGAGGTCTTCTGAGGTTATGACCAATCCAACGCCATTTTCGCAGCTTGATGGCATTTGCTATTGGTGCTTGGTAGGTTCTTCTCCATAATTCTGTGCTCGATATATTCTCAGATCGTCTTGTTCTGAGAATTTCACGGAGACAATCACTGATGAACACTTGGAGGCTGTTCTCTGTTTTGTCTGATGTATATACCTCAGTTGGCACTTTGTGTTGTTATATAGCCCTTGAATTACGTTTATTATCTTTGTTGAAATACCATAATGACTTAAAGCTCTCCAGATAGTGTGTATAGACTGCTTTCTTGAAGTCATCTATTAAACCACTGTAGATAGCTTTTTTGATTCTAAGATAATTCTTGTGGGGACTTTGCTAGGGAGGGAAAGTAGTTGGATTCCTCTACAACTGTAACAATCACTTAAATCTCCTTTTCTGGGTAACTTCACGATGAGTCTCGTTCTCCAGTCCTCGGGTATTTCTTTTGTCTCACAGATCTTTTCTAATTTAAAATGCTTCCTGTTATTTCAGGACCTCTGGTGGAATAGAGTCTGGTCCTGGGACTTTGTCATTCTTGATTTTTTTTTTTTTTTTTTTTTGACTGCTTTAATCGGAACTGGGGTGGTGGTCATTGTCCAAGTCTACCCCTGGGGGAATGTCGATATGGGGGTTCATGGACCTCATTTCCATTTTAAGAGATTGCAAGTGTTCTTTAAAAGTCATCTTAGGTTAATATAAATCCTAGGAGGGTTAATATAAATCCTAGGAGGGTTAATATAAATCCTAGGAGATCCGAACCCACCTAACCCCTCACATCTGATGGATCCATATACCTTGTGGAGTTGTGGAAAAAGAGAGATAATCCAAATGAATCATTCGAATACATAGAAGAGAAATACATGTAATCATAGATTGAGTGCTTTTAGATAGCAACAGACAATTATTCCTAAATATGAATCTTTACGGCACAGGAGCCCTGGATAGCGCTACATGTCATCCTCGGTCTGTACTTTTTTTTATGAGATACATGTAGATCTGGTTTGAAAATTACGCGCCTGTGGATAGGAACCCCCCCCCCCCCCCACAATTTAATTTACACATCGGTCCCGGGATTTTTTTAATTTGTTTTGTATCATATATTTTTCTAGCACACATTTACAAAGTGTTCATTAACAAACGTTTTCTTAAAAAAACAAAACAAAAAACAAACAAAACAAAACAAAACTGAAAGTCTAGAGACATGCAGTTCTCGACATAATGAGGTACATGTACATGTACAACTCTATCGCATTTTTTTTATCCAGTCTGTTACTGTTTTTTTTTTTTTTTTTTGGTTTACTTAATTAATGTTTCTTTACTACTTTTTGGGTTTTTTTTTTGTTTTTCTTTTGTTGTGTGTGTGTGCGTGTGTTTCGTTTTTGCTTATAAATTTAGGCCAGTCTAATTAAGTTAGCTCCTACGTTTTCTTATTTTTTTTAACATAGTAAATAAGATGTAGGTGCTAATTTTCATTAAACTGAATTTAGGCCTCCCTGTCATCATCATCATCTTCTCTGCTAGAACATCTGGATCCACCCCTACCCCCTTAGAATTGTAAAAAGAGGTTTCACTCTCACAGTCCATGAAATAACCATATTGGCTAATAATTATTTTTACCCCATTTAAAAATAAGATAGATGTCATCCACGCTTAATCCAACCATGCTAACAATGGCACAAAAATTCACGCATGCGCTGATTTTATATCCGGGATTTAGTGAAAGAAGTGGTCAAAGAAGACAACCTTCCGTCTGTTTAGACAAACAATATCACAAATATGGCGTTAAAAAGGATTCAAAAGGTATGTTTATGTAAAACATTATTTTCTTTAGTCATATCCACTCTACAAAAGGCCAAATTTTGGTCAAATTTGTGTTATTATTTGTTTCCCGGCGACAGAGGGTTTACTTCTCGATCAACCGTAGGCCGCCATTTTATTTCATCGAAAATTACTGAACAGAAATGTGGGGATCCCCGAAATCATAGAGAAATTTCTGCGGTTATATTCTCGCGAAAATGTGATCATTATAGCATGAAAAGTTAAGCGAGGGTTCGTTTTCTGGTGATTTAGAAATGATTAAGTAGCATGACCAATGAAATCTCGGTGGAGTTCAGAGAGGTCGATACACCCAAAGTTGACAAGTTAAAACGAAAATAAGCATATAAATAGAACTGGGTAACCTGGTTAGAATTCATGACTGCTGCAGACTAATTTTGCAATGACTCCAAAGTTACAGACGTTTATTTTGGACCAAAATATTACAAAAGGAAAATGAGACAACTTGGTACATTACCAAACATGATAATACAAAACAATGTGTTGGTGATCTGTTTGTTTCGTTAAGTTTACAAACATGATAATATGCAATACGTTTAACAGTAAGAAAGATTTCAATTATTAACTAGTGCCCAATTACATAAAACATTCTCATTTAGAACTCTATATCAGGGGCTTATTAAGTGAGCAAGGGATACAGAAATGAATGAAAACTACAATACACCCCCAAGGAATATGACTTGTTTTGCATACATGTGTAGGACAAGTAAATTAATTGTTACAGTGGATGGTAAGCGATTATGAGTCATTACAAAATGAAATAAAGAAATATCAAACTGAAATTTAATCATTAAGTACTTTGGCCTCAGGGTGTATGGAATAAAACCCGGGGTAAATCCCTGTACCCCCTTGATTGAACCTCGATTACTAATAATATATTAGCCAAGCAAACCAAAATTTCTGATGTTTCTTTGAATGAAAAAACATGCCAAGTGTCTTATACTTTTAATTACTGTAAAAGCAGAATTTTTAGCAAGGATTCAATTTTGGCATTATTAGTGAGGGTTTGGAGATCCCTAAATTGAATATCACTAACAATTTATTCTGTATTGGTTGCTATAGTTAGCTTTCTTGACATTACAGGGTTCGACACTCGTCAAAATTTGGTCTCCCCATTTGGGCAACCTTGGCACTGATTTCAGGTTGCCCGAATGAATTTCAGGTCGCCCGAACAAAATATCAAATGAAACAAAAATGTGCAATTGTTAAAAATTTGTTAAGACGACAGAAGTTGTGCTTTTGTACATTTATGGAATGTCAAAAGCTGTAATGTATAATCTCACCTCATATATTGACACAAAATAAAGTTTCTAGTTTAAAACATTCATTTTCACTTACCATAAAGGCCTAAAAAAATGGAGTCAAACATCCCTGTACTGAATTAACCAGATGTGATGTTTACAGTGGACACCCAACATGGCTGTACGAACATCAGAAAGTTGTGGGGGGAAATACTATATGTTACAAAAATGATCATTACTCTTTATATTTATGGTGATTGTTGACTAGGTTGACATATTTTATATCTCAAATAAAACTTAATTTAATACTTTTGGTAAAAATTATATCAGCTGATTGATCAAACACAGATTTGGCAGAAAGAAAAATCCACGAGGCGGGTTACAGGAAACAATAAGGCCTTGTAAAGTTTATTTTAAAATATTAAACATCATTATTGAATATTCCCAACCCATCCCAGGTCGTCATTTGGGCGAGCCAGACTGAAAATCAGGTCGTCAAAAATCATCACAGGATGGAAATGACGAGGTGACGAGCGTGAATGTCGAACCCTGCATTATAAAAACGCTAAAATTACTTCTCGCTAAAATAATATACAAGTTTTTTGGGATAAATCGCTAAATTTGTGTCTCACTAAGAATTCTTCTTATACGGTATTACGGGATTTTCCACTGCCCCATGTAGGGCTGAATTTCCACCCCATCCCCACTTGTAAAAACCCTCCCCCTCCCCACAAATCCCCCTTTATCATTACAGAAAAAGCTTTCACTACAGGAAAAATGAGCTTGAAAGAGTTTATTTTTAGATAGGCAAAAATAAAGGACTGTAATATGCTAAAAACCACGTGATAGTGTGGTGATACCCATATAAAAAAAAACTTCAACATGAATTTCCTCAAAAACAAACATATATATATATTTGAGATATATACTTTATTTTAACTCATATTTTGTAAGAAACAAACACCAAGTCTGCAAATTTCTTTTTTAGGAGTTAACAGACTTAGGCAGAGACCCCCCAGCACAGTGCTCAGCAGGACCCGTGGGTGACGATTGTAAGTAATACGTCTATTAAAATCAGAACTTAATTGTTTAAAATTACTGTAAATGTATTTTATTTGGTGTGTACAATATTTGCCGGAAATTGATTTTATTTAGCGTTTTCTGAATGCACTTTATATGAATATATAAACTCAAGACATTTAGCAATGTACTTGATTTAGTGTAAGCTGCTTTCTGTGAAAGGCGGTAAATAGAATACACAGCCAAATGTAATACTTTTACAGTATTGTTTTCAATGTGTTTATCAGCAACCTCAATGATTGTATTGAGTATATATTGTATGAGGTTACATTTTCATTCAGGATGCTTGCGTGTGGCTAAATCAAGTAGAGGCAGAGAATGATTCACTTGCCTCACTTAGATTTCACTGTTGTGTTAATAAAATCATTAAACTTTTTTCAGAACTTGAAATCTTATTCTTGTGCACGTACATTGAGAATAAGATTAACAAACTTCAAGTTATCAAAATATTTTGGTCTTCTTCTTGTCCAAAGTTTCATCATGTCATGTCTAAGTTGAGTTTTAGACTTGTCTTCTGTATGTACAACAATTATAGTAGTAAATTTGCTTTGTTTGGACTCACTTAAATTTTCTGCAGTTAAAGTACAAAATCTTTTGCATTAAAGTCAAGTCTTACAGGCAATTGATAGAAAACTATGGAGGACATCTGTTTTGGGTAGGCAGGTATGAGATTGGTAAGTTAATGGGAAGGTGGGTGGTGGGGTCTGTTTTTAGTCGTGGGTAAATCCGTGAAGTTTTATTTACTTGATTTTGGGACAGGTGTGTCTTTAAAATAAAGGTCATTCTTATACCCTGGAGAAAGAACATGTCCTGACTGTACTGAAGTTTAATATCATTTCCAGGGTTAGAAACTCCCTAAAATTACAACTCGCAAATAATTGCGAGTACCAAGAAAGTGAACTCGCAATTTTATAAGACTACTCGCAATTTTCATATAAAGTTAAATTTATATAAATTAAATACATGTAACTTGAGGAAAAAGTAACTACTGTACAATACACAAAATACAACTACAGTGTGACTTTTAGTTAAATTACTGATTTAAATCAAAAGCATTGTGTTCTGTCATATTATATAATTTTTCTACAGTTTCAATGCAAAAAAAAATCAACTCGCAAGTTTTTGCGAGTTACCTAATTTTTAACTCGCAATTTGGGAATTCTAACTCGCGTTTTGCGAGTTGTATATAGTGAATTTCGAACCCTGATTTCATTTATTAACTCAATATATATTCTATACCAATTGTGGTCATTAAACCATGCAATCTACAGCATCTGTTTTGACTGAATTAATATTTTTCCCCTCTTCTTTTTCAGTATTTCATTGGCAAGCCACAATAATGGGTCCGGTGAGTAAAGAACAGTTTAATGGAAACTATCAAAGATATATATATATATATATATATATATATATATATATATATATATATATATATATATATATATATATATATATATATATATATATATATATATATATAGACTATTTGTATGCATTTTTAAGGATTGTATTCAGATGTTTAAAAATTGATATGAAATGCTAGCTTATCTATTTTAACAAAAGATTTAATGCACTCTTCAAGTATGTTTTCTTTACGATTATCATTCTGATTTACAGACAGACAGTCCATTCACTGGTGGTGTATTTTTCCTAACAATACATTTCCCTACAGATTATCCATTTAAACCCCCTAAGGTAAGTTTATACTAAAATTACATATATATATTGAAAAAGTCAACATAAAATTTCTTTGCTTTTAGTCTGAAATTTGCATAATTTGACCCATATTTCAAATTTTACATCAGTAGTCCCAACTTTTCATTTCATTTTTTGTAATTACATGATACTTCTTTCCACTCAGCACTAAATTCATAAAAAAGCTTGATATTATACTATTTACTGGCTATGAGGACATAGCAAGTTTATTGTCCCTCAAGACAGTAACTATTTCCAGAGTTGAAGCTGAGGGAAATAGTTGCTTTCAAAGAGGACAATAAACTTGGTATTGCCCTCAGAGCTCTATGTAGGTGTTTTATAATACCAAAGCAGACTTTACTTGTGTCACGTCATGATCCAGATAAAACCAGAAGAGTTCAGAGGGAAATGGAATGCTGCCAGTGAATAGTTCGGTGACTATTTCACCATTGGCAAATCGCACAAAAACTATTCCATGGTAGAGGCTGATTTGAAAAAAACAATAGGTTTATTCATCATATCTTTATAAAGAAAAAATTGAAGAAAATATCACAATGTATTTCCCAAAGTACGATATTATTAGTGCAGAAAGGCCACACAATTTATGTGCATTAATTGACACTTTTTTCCAATGATTTTTTAAACCGTTTTGCATAAAATATAATTATATTTATTGCCATGATTACATCTTATAACATATGATTGAGTTTAAAGGTGATTAATAATAAAGTTGCATTTTAAGTACAAAAAGGTCAAGTTTATTGCACTGTTGCTCACCAATACCCACACTGACCCACAATCTTTCTAATTTTGAGTTCTGCTGTATGAGGAGTTTTTGAGTTATGCTGTTTGAGGAGATATCTAAAATATAGTTATCAAAAAACCCTTGAACCAATGTAACAGGAGTTACATACTTTAAATTAATTCACATGTAACTATGATTTTTGCATGTACTCTTGTCTTATTATTTAGATAATAAATATGAGTTATTTCTGGTATAACCTGACTTAGTATTGGGTGCCACAATGTCGCTATGCATGAAAATATGTGTTTTTATTTTCCAGAGTAATTCTACACAGTTCTTAAATAAACTTGATCAATGAAGACTTTTTGAATTTCTGGATGTACTCCAATGTTATGATTTAAAAAAAATTGGGAAAATTCTCGCATAAATTGGGGGGGGGGGATTCTCATTGTGATGTATTGGTTTATCGGACCCAAACTCACTGCTCTGTAGGTGGAAATTTTTACTAATGATCAATTTCAACATACATGAGAAAAAAAAAAAATTGATGATAAATTGATAATATGAACATTGAATATATCATTATCATATACTGTATAGTCAATATACATGTATCGCAGCACAGTACTAGTGGTAAAAATGTATGTCTGTGGTGTTGAAGAAGTCATCACCTCCAGGTTTGAATATTAATTTATCTTTGTACTACAGTCCAACTGTGGAATGAATTCATGTGTAGGGTTTGGAAAATACAACATATAGGAGACAAGTTGTCACTGATAATTTTAGAAAGGCATCAAAAGTTGTTCTAGTGTTACAAATTTAAAACAAAAATTTATTTTTTTATGGATATCCATGTTTAGAATGCTTCTGATTTTTGTGTAGGTTGCCTTTACGACAAGAATATATCACCCAAACATTAACAGTAATGGAAGTATTTGTCTGGATATATTACGATCACAGTGGTCCCCAGCTTTAACAATATCAAAAGGTAATTTCACAACACGCATTGTTACAGATTTTTTTTTTAAAGAATATATATACATGTATGTATATATTTATATAAGACGTCTTTGTGTAAATATTACCAATGTCCTAGGTATTTGATACTTGCATGCACACACAAGATGATGAAAATAATCAGTTTATAGTATATATGTAAAATTGTTTTCAAACTAAAATTGAAGCCAGGTATTTTTTTTCCATACAGTACTACTTTCCATATGTTCATTGCTAACTGACCCCAATCCTGATGATCCTCTTGTACCAGAAATAGCCCGAATTTACAAAACGGACAGGGAAAAATACAACAATACAGCCAAGGAATGGACTGCTAAATATGCCATGTGACATCATAATGACAGCCAATGAAAACATGTAAAAATTGCATCTGATGTTCTGACATTTTCACTTTTCCCACGGTATGCTGTACAAATAAGTGGCATGCCAGCAGACTAGGGAGACAAGGAGAACTAATGTTGAGTGAATTTTCCTTGACTCTTAACCAATTTTTTTTTTCTCAGTTTGTTCCGTTTCATGGGGATTTAAATTTTAGGGGGTAAAACAAAATAAAATAAGGTATGACACCTTTATATTATTTTTTGTAACTTGTTTGATAATTTGGTATTGTTTAAGTGGTATTATCTTATGGAACTGAAAGAATTGTATAAGTAAATCCTCACTTTTTATTTTGTCAGATTTGCGTGAACTTTAAGTTTGTCTTTCTTGATTAATATCTTGTCCATCAGCTGTTGTATTTTCTCAGGTTGGAGAAAATCTGCTAATAAATCTTTAATAGCTGCCAACATTGCAAGCCCTTTATATATTTTTGTTAAATTAAAACTTATTTAACTAAAATTGTTTTTGACCAGTGCTCACGTTATGGATTGTTTTCCATGATGGAATAGACTTTATATATTTAATTTTGTTGGTAATTTGTTTATAATATGTTGAATTTTCCTTAGTAAATTCTTTTTTTTACATTTAAAGAAAAATGATAATGATTGAAAAAGTTTAGTGCTAAACTGACATGTAAATGCAGCTTTCGTTTTATATATTTCTTTGTCGGGGGTTTATACTTTTCAGCAAAAGAATTTCCTTTGTATGAATATAACTGCATAGTTGAATAAAAAAATGGAATAATTATGTGGAGTTTCACCCTTCTTGATTAAAATATGTGTTGCTTTTCTACATACAAAGAATATGCATGTAGTTTCATTTGTCCACAAGATATTTGTGGCCTTATAAATTGTTTTAAAGTAAATGTTTAACAAGAGAATGGTATGCAAGTCATATAAGCCAAGGATTTTTTAAACATTGACATGGAGAAATTAATTTGTCATGTATATCTACATAAGGAAGAACAGTAGTGAAGGGGCTTAGTTTGGTATGCGGTGAGTAATGTGCTGTGAATAGATTATTAAAAAAGTATTAAAATGGTAACGTGTATTTTTCCAGGAAGGAACTTATGAGGACGATGTATAGGATATGATCACTATGTATGTTGTGAGAAATGTAATTGAGACCATTGTGAATACAATGAGTTGTCCCTCTTTGTGCCTTTTCACCATGCAGTACAAATATACGAATTTAGGCCAAAGTTTTTATTTTTTTTGGTTTACGATTTTCTGTCTCAAAAAAATGCATTGGGTGGTCGAAAAATAAAAATAATTTAGGATTCAACAATTTCATTTTAAAATACCAGCAAAGTTTATTTTAATAAAAATAATACACGTCAATAGTACTTTTAAGTTTTATTGTCTAGATCACATAACTCTTTTTATTTAATTTTAATTCATTTCTAACTTTAGACTGAATGTCATTTTCATTTACATATAGTTCTGATTTTTGTTTGTCAATCAGTGCTATTTTTGTTTTGCAGCATCCACAATTTTTGGCTGGATTGCCCCAAAATTTAAACGTTTCTTTCTTGCATCTTCACCCCTTCCCACAATTTCCTTGAAGTCTCTAAATCTTTTATATCTTGCGGACCGACAAGTATATGCATGTACATCTAAGCATGGATGCAAACTTAAATCCGTCCCAAAGTCGGTGGTGGAAGTAACAAGCTTCTAAAATACATGTTAGGTTAGCCTTCCATGTTACACACTTCTCTGTGCATGTACAGAATTCGACATTTTACCCGAAAGCGTTTGATGTATCAATAAACCGAAATTAAATGTTACCTGGAGATTTTGAGCCTATATATGGCGTATCTGAGCCATAAATAATAATAATAATACGAGATTGAGTGTATGATATGTTATTTACGTTCAAATTAAATTTTCACTGATTTCGACTTGAATAACCTCACGTTTCTATAGTTGACCTTAAATTTGTCTCTTATTTAAATGTGGAGTCGGTAAATAAATTGGTTATTGTTTTAAAGTTTTGATATGTTTGAAACGCGATTGATTTCAATTGTGTAATTTACAGAAAAGTCCCATCTTTATATAAAGTAGTAAAAATTATATAAAAAGATCTTCTTTTTTAAACTTCGGTTATCTGAACTTATCAAACATACGCCCTAGTATATGACTTTAAAGGCTGAATAAATTTAAGGATGGAAAAGTTTTTTCCCAGCAATCTTAATTAGCTTTATACATATTTGATTTTTTGAATTGCCGCAGATGATAACCGTGGATTCAATTTGCGCGAACAATTTATTCGTCGGGAAAGTAATTTGACTTTGGAAGATTGAGGGGTTGGAATTGAGAAAGTTCATGGGCCAAGAGTTAGCATGCCGACTAACCATGTACGGAATCAAAATAGCAAACTGAAGTTACATAATGTCAACAATCTAGTATGTAAACAAGGAAGTATTTGTCATGACTTTGAGGAAGGAAGTATGAAATAAGATCATCTATTTATATACGTATTAAGTCGCGCAGACTGAGAATTAATGTCGCTCTTTCGATTATTTAACAGGATAAATAAAAAAAAAAAAAAATGAAATTTTCAAAACTGATATGACATTGAAATTTAACCCATCAAAACAATAAATAAATACCATTAGTAACCTATATGATTGTAAAAGAATATATTGCATACGTCTGTTTACCCCTCCCCCCTTCCCGGCCGCACGTGCACGCTAACACCATGAGGAAATTCTGAAAGTGTCCCTGATCTACCAATTAAGGTTTCAAGAGCAATTCATGCAGTTATTTAAAAGATCTATCTAATAATTTTTGTTAAGATATACAGTGCTTTATACTTTTTGTATTACTTGGGGAATGAACAGGGACTATCTTTCTCCCTCCTTCCTTTGTCCATTTCTTTCTTTATTCATCCTCCTCTTACACTTTTTCATTAATTATTTCCCTCCCTTAATTTCCAAGAAGTACGAATCACATTGATATAGATCTACATGTTTTTAAATTGTCCAATCGAACCCTCTGATTTGAACCTACATGTATTTTTATTGTTTAAATAATATACAAATGGTTTGAACACAAGTTCCAACAACTTACGAGGTTCTCACCATAAATGGCTGCAACTGTCAAAATCTATGTATAGAAAAAAATAGTGATTTACAAACATGTTTGTTTTAAACATACATCAAACCCTCTCGTATGGCAGATGTAATTTGTTTGATAAATTCAGGCCCGTAGGAAGCAATTTCACTTTGAGGGGGCACAACCATACATTTTCAGTTGGGGGGGGGGCACTATCAAGTACCAAAATTTCTTGACAAGCAAGAAAAAAAAAGGTCATCAGACGTTTTGATTGAGGGGGCACAAGCATAAAATAGCTATGTTTTCTATAGTATTCTATATATCGGCAAAATTATTGGGGTGGGGGGCACGGGGGCTGTGCCCCCCCCCCCCCGGTTCCTACGGCCATGAAATTTCAAATACATAAAAATGTAACACTTGTAAGCATTTTCAACGGTCTAAAATTGAATCAGAAAGAGAGAGAGGAAAAAATATGGCACGCCAAATTTACAAAAATGAGTAAAACCTAGTTTCACAATTGATAAACTAGGTTTATCGACTGTAAACTATAGTTTACAAATCGTAAACTATAGTTAACGATTCGTTAAGTATAGTTTTCATCTGTAAAACTATATTTAACGGTTGTTAACTATAGTTTACGAATGCTAATCTAAGTTTATCTGTCTGTGATAAGCGTTAACAATAGATTTTGTTGATAAACATAGATTCACGTTTGTAAACTATAGTTTACAATCGTAAACTATAGTTTACAATCGTAAACTATAGTTAACGGTTGTTAATCATAGTTTCACAAATCGTGAAACTATATTTATCAGATCGTTAACTATAGTTAACGGTTTGTAAACTATAGTTTACAAATCGTGGAACTGTATTTATCAGAAAATCTATGTTTTGCAATCGCAAATGATTGTTTTCGGTGTTAAGTATAGTTTACGGTTGTGAAACATAGATTATCGCGTTAACTATGGTTTACAGATGTGAAATATAGATTAACGTTGTTAATTATAGTTTACAATTCGTAAACTATAGTTTACAACCGATAAACCTAGTTTATCGATTGTGAAACTATGATTATCTCATTTTTGTGAATTTGGCGTGCCATAAAAAAAAGATAGTTAATGTTTCAAGTGCAGACACAATTTATCTTTTCTTTTTTTTTGTGTTTTTTATTTTGATGACTAGTATTAAGGAAAAATACTTGAGACTATTTCTAATAATAGCAAGGGTACAAATGTTTGGCATAAATTCTATTGCGATATAACCGAATGTGTGAGGGCCGAACATGTTTAATGCCGAAACAACCTGTTACCGCCATCCACTGAGCGCTGGTTCTCTGCCCTTGCTTCCAGTCGCCGCTTTCGCGGACTTTTTAAGTTTCTCATGTTTGAAGATTTTGAATGTTCATTTATTGCAGTAAAATGCCGATGCTTGGACAAGTTTTATGAAAAAAGATAGGCTTGCTGGTGAGTTTTGACTGCTCGAATTAAACACCTTGTAATTTAAGGAATGGAATGGTTATTTTTTAATCTTTAAGTACAACTCGAATTATCTCGGTATGTTGATAACTTTTATAGAAATTCCTTGAAAAATTTCCCTCTGTGTCTTTTTCTGAAATCAGCAAGATATGGAGTTAATTACTTCGTAATTTTAAGTTTGTAGTGTAAGTATAAACAACTCCTGATCTGTCTACCCTTCCGCATTTGGCGTATTTCTTCCGCTTTTTATCACTTAATAGATAGTTTTCAGTAGGCCCAAATTATCAAGAGTTATTTCCCTTTGGCCGCCATATTGGAGGTCAACATACTCATATTTCTTCATTATTCAACCAACTTTAACTTTATATACTGGCAATTGTGGGGTAGGCAGCATTGTTTTTCTAAAAAATATACATTTGGTAAAGCCTCCTTTTTTTCATAATTTTTATTCCATAAAGATTTTCCTCCAAATATTTCTGCTACACCCTCTTAAATTTGGTAAGACAAAGAGGAAAAATTACCAGGTTGACCACCAAAATGGCGGGCAAGGGAAATAACTCGAAGAGAAAATATGCCATATGAAAACTATCTATTACGCTGTTTTGCCATGAAAAATTTATTGTACACTTCTTAAATTTTCCGTCTAAATGATTTTGTCATTTTATATTTCTTTAGCATTTCTTTCTGAACGACTGACTCTCTCGAGTTCAAGTAGGTCCTAAGTAGAGAGAAGATCAGTAAAACGTTTTATCTATATTTGGCAGTTAACAGTTCTTCTAGATCACAAATTAAGTTAATGATTTATCTTAAGTAAGATGACTCCTAAATCTTAAAGTGCAGCGCATTCCAAAGAAGTGGAAGAAGTCGATAAAAAAAACTGTGTACTTCCAAGGACCTAGTATATACTAACGGGATAGGCAACTGTCCTTCAGCGCCATGTTTATTTACCAAAAACATCACACACAACACTGCAAGTTTTTCGAACTACTTCTTTTCCCAGTAAAAAGCTTGTTTTCTGATTAATGTAATCTGTTCTTTTTGTGCACCGGAATGGATATTTAATAAATTTTAAAGCACATATTATAAAATAATTTAGATATTAAGTAAACAACCACCAAAATGGGCGATTTCTCGGAAATACGGCCGATCAGGGGCACACACAATAAACGTAATTACTTCTAGTAAGATAAGGAGTAAAAATAGTGCTAATAACAAATCTTGAATAATTTCTTGATAGATATTTAAGATTTTATTCTGAAATATTTGATAGCAAAAGAGATATATTTAATTAAAAGTGACTTACGAAATCCCGCAACTTACAAGGTATCGCTAGACTTGCGAGAGTTGCCTATCCCGTTAGTATGTAGGTCCCTGGTACTTCAACCATCATAATGATAAGTTATATTAATTCCACTGAAAGACCCTCAGTTGTGTTAACCAAATGCTTCATAACATGTTAGAGTGGGGTTCTCATAAGTTTAAGGATAAGACGTCTGGATGTTATGATGCTGTAGTTTAACAATCCAATGTGGAATTTTTTCATTAAATGACATAAAAATAGTTTTTGCCTCATTTTTATTTTGATGTATATCATATATATTTATTTAAATAGCACTATTACCTTGCGTTTATCAAACTTGATGCTTCTCTTTTTTGATAAAATCAAGAAAGCTCTAAATCTCAAGTTATTTTCATGACTTAACATATTGTTAACGTTTTTGACAATCAAATGATTCGATCATGAGTATGCCAAATTCGAAAGTACAATGTATCACTGATGTTAATTTGCGTAAGTCGGTTTAGACTTCTACAAGGAACGTTTATAAAAAATTGGTGAATTTATAATTCGAAGAGTTGTTTTAACAGAAAATATCTACAAAAATATAACAGAAGAAAACTAGCATAAATCTAATTTTTATCAGGGTGATGCACCAAACATTTAGTTAGATATATAATATAGTCTGCAACTCGTTAGCTCTCTTCAAACCCAAAGATCTATGTTTAACACTGGGATCGTCGGTATAAGCACAATTGTTTTTGGTTTACTGGTAGTGGTAGATAAAAAAATTTCTGTCATTTATCAATCTCATTATGCTGTAACATCACAGCTGGCCACCCTGTTTTTCTGTGAATATCTCTGAATTCAAACCCTAGTATGCTTTTCTTGGAATACTTTATTAGGTCCAACACAATCTGAGTGAGTGTCTTCATTTAGCTATGTGGGGTTCTTTGACTGGGGCATTTTTGTGATGGGGCACAAGCATTGACTGGCACCCTGTAAGGCCACATGTTGACAACTTGACATAGGATATGGCCTAAAATGATTTAGTTGTCAAAATGGACTTATCAAGAAGGAAGATTAACTCAACAACAGGTTTTAGCTACAATGTAAAGATTGTAAAGAGTATCATTCAACCACTTTGGACTCCTACTTCTCACAGAGATACAGTTTGTACTGTCTTCTCTGGTCACCAAGGGTTTCTGAGATTTCGGATTGGAAACCCTTGGCCAGCAAGAATGTCCACAGAGATACAAGTTAGTCAGAGGAGGCAGCATTGTAAATTATATTCAGTTGACAAGCTTATAAAGAAGTGCCAGGGACGATCAATTTTGTTTTGTATTATGCATAGTTTGTTATATCCATTTAGTTTATAATACTTCAGGGAATGAAAAACCCTTTGCTGAATTTGAAATTAAGCATGTTTGCTGTTACTGGTTACTGCAATAATATTGAAATTACTTAAATTAATTAATTATTATTATTAATAAATTAATTAAATTAATTATTGAAATTACAACAGTAAGGCATTGACCAATTTTATTGGACAGCTCCATTTTATTCAATATTCAAATATTAATGGCTATAAATATACAAGATGGCCAGAGGTTTCTGTAAGTGGAGATTAAAGATTTAATCAAGACCTTGATCAGGCAGAATCGTCTTTGTTTGAGACAGAAATAGTGTAGCTATCATAGCTACACTTGACATTTCACATGTTAAGAGATAACTCCTTGTTTACTTCAATATTTGAGTTTAAAATAGACTGACAGAGATTCCCATATATACAGGAATTTCTTTGAGCCTAACCGGTCATAAGATACTGTATATTGATTTGTTCAGAAATGGTAAATTTTGAAGTTTATGCTGTTTCAACTATTATTTTTTTTTTCTTTTTTTGGAAAAAAAAATGCTTTCAGGATATATATGCATATAATAATTGTATTATAGATTGGTCTTTACCCTTTACATAGGAATATATAGGGAAAATATTCAAAAATCTTCTTCTCAAGAACAGCAAAGCTATGATTGGTCTTATTTATATGGAAGCATCCTCAGGTGGTGTAGATTCAAATTTGTTCAAATCATGACCCCCAGGGGTAGGGTGGGGCCACCATGGACGATCAAAGTTTTACATAGGAATATATAGGAGAAATCTTAAAAAAATCTTCTTCTCAAGAACAGCAAAGCCATGATTGGTCATATTTATATGGAAGCATCCTCAGATAGTGTAAATTCAAGTTTGATCAAATCATGACCCTCAGGGGTAGGTAGGGGCCAAAATGAAAGTTTAAACTTGTAGGAAAAAAGTCACAGTCAAAAAAAAAAAAAAAATGTAAGCATCCTTAGTTAGTGTCAATTTTGTTCAAATCGTCCCTTTTAGGGGTAGGTCGGGACCACTTGTGCATTTAAGCATTCCAATACTAAACTGATTTTTGCTCTTTTCCTAGCTACAGTGCTCAGGGGAGCGATGTGGCCCCTCAGTCTCTTGTTCATAACTGGAGGAATAGTCCAATCCACACTTTGCAATAGTTGTGTCCCTTTGAGGGGTTAGCCAAAAGTTCAACGGGAAAGAAACAATATTTCTCCTCTTTATGGTACCAAACATTTGGGAGTGCTCTGATGAATCCACTGAGTTTAATTAATGGGTCATCATCATCATCATCATTTATTTGGTATCATATGCCATCATACATAAAACAAATACACATAACTATACATAATCATTCGAAAGACAATATTTGGGAATCCATAAATTTTAAATAGATTTATAAATAAATATTCAGGAAACCATCCTGGGGTAATCAAAACACAAGATGCAAAGATTTTTTTCGAGTCAAATGACGAAGTTACAAACCAGAAAACTACAAAGGCTACTGTGAGGATTCTATGGGTTTTTTCCCAAAAAGGGCGGCCAAGGGACATAACTTTTAAAAAATGTGGATTCAACTACTTAAGATACATGATATCACAACCTGGGGAGCTGTATGATATCACGTACAGGCTGTAAATATCAGTTTCTGTCATTTTGACTTAAAAAAAGATTGGGTTGAATCAGTGCTTATGCCTTATTAGTGAAATTCTGTATAAGATTAAACCCAGAAGTAACAGTTTGATGTAATAAGATACAATACAGTTTATAACTCAGCCCACCTTAACACAAGTATTGGTCACGCTCTGATGATCACTTGTTTTCAAGGTCACAGTAATTAGATCCAAGCTTTTATGTAGCCATTGTGATGCAGTTATAAACCTCCATCCTACAGGTAAATAGTCCAATTAAAAAATCAGCTTGTTTTTTCAATTAAAATACGGAAGATGGCAAGTGGCGTAAATCACAGTAAATGTCGTCTTTGTTAAAAAAATGATTGATGTGGAAAAAATATAGCTGCAGAATTCAATGATTTTAATCTATGTTCGGAAATGAAAAGACTTTCCTCAATTATGGTATGTTAGGACAGCCAACGGAAGAACTCTTCAAGTTGAGAGGTGTGATTTGGGTCAGCATTCGTGGGATGTGCCCTTTGATGGGACGTCAGGACCCCTGATTATTCTCGCATGAGAGCTTTGTTAGTTCAAGAAATCAATATTGCATTGCAGAGCTGAAATATTTCTGCTTTACCATTATTGATGCTGGCTCAGAAGTGGTTGGTGTTTAATGGGAAATTTCTGTCCATTTTAGATACATGTCTGGTGTGTTTTCTAAGAAGTTGGTAAGTATGAAAATCTAGAAAACAGTTTTATGTCTAATTCTTAGAAAGCTAAATTGTCACGTGTAAGAAAATCTGCTTGAAGGATAAAATCGGTATTGGCTATTTATACAGGCTTTAGGAATACCTGATTACTGATGTATTGAATTTCCTTACTTCATTGATGTTCAGAATCTATTGAATATAAGCACAATTATTTCAGGGATTTTAGAATTAATATTTTGTAAATCATCATTCAATAATTCAATGTATGCATAATGTGATTTCTGCAGAACTTATCTTTTCTTCATACTAGATATATTGTTCTAACTAGAATTGTAGTTCTAACTATAATGCAAACTATTAAATAAATGTAAAATTACAATTAAAATTTAATGAAGAGTATATTTTGGATATTAATGACACCTGATATGACAATAATAATTAAATATCCCTTTTATCTAATAAACACATACGTTCCAAAATTTTGGAAATTTGTCATTAAACATGATATATCCGTTTGCTGTTGGTTTCAGATCTGGCTTTCATAATGAAGTGGTGGATATGTGTGGTAGTCTGTGGAGTACTGTGTTATCTGTCTGAGTCCAGACCTCATGAAAAGGTAATGTGTTTACAAAGCAGTTTTAAAAGGCAGGCTAGAGTAACATAGGGCCAAATTTTGAACCTTCATATCATAAAAATCAAATTACATCAAATTATGGTACTTTATTATAAGAATTTGAAATGAAATCTATTTTTTTTTTAACAGCAAGAGGGTGATATATGCAGAATGATTTTCCAAGTTCAATTATTTTATATTTTCATGAAATTTTAGATTATTTTTGCTTTTCGCAACATAGAGTAAAATTTTTACACACAAGGTGTATGACTCAAGGTAAATGTAGGGAGGATATAGAAATCTGGCAAATAAATTCTGTGTTTTCTGAAGTTTACGGAAAAAAATCAATAGAATTATGGAGATTAAGAATTGGACAATTTGTGTATGCTTTATCCCTGCTGATTGATTATGAATTGATATTAAGTTGCCAGAGTCATGTAAAGGGGGCCAGAAAAGGTCCTTAATCAACTTTGTACGCGATAGATATGGTTAAATAAATGATTCTTGCTATATTGAATTTATGATTACAGTAACTGTGATGGATTATTAAGGATATGTACTAACATTTTGATAGAAATTTGCACACAAGTTCTTATTTTATTTTGTTGATTCTAAGCATTTATAGTATTTGATGGAAATTTCTCTGTAACTTTAACTAGAATACAGATACTGTAAACTTGGAAATGTTTCCATGGGGGAAATATTTGTGAATTTTTTTTTATGCCAAAAGTTTCACAAAATTTATCACCACATTAAAAGTTTATTAAAAAAATGAGACATGATACTAAACAACACATTTAATGAGTTCTTTAAAGGAACACTCCAACGCAAACACTTTGTCACATGGAAATTTGCAAAATTTTACCCTGAATAAATATCAGTGTTTATTCACGTAAATGTTGAAAAGAAAAAAAGTCTTGAATGATAAAAAAAAAATATATGAAAATACACATATTTAGGTAAAATAATACCATTTGATGAAATTCTGAATGTTGCAGTTACAGCAAAATGCATCTTAAAAACTTGCATGGTTACTGATAGAATGCAGGGTTTTCTTAACTGAAGACAGCATAATAAAAAGCAGAAATCAATAACTGTAGAAGTTAATGAATAAGTCATTGTTAAAGTTAGAAACATTAATTATTTACATCACAATCTCGGTAGAATAAAAATATATTTAACTTTTGTAGTCTGTAATTTTGCTTTACATTTCTGAGTGACTGTGAGTGTTTTACGCACTACAAAAAATGATATTCAATATCATTTTTTGTAATAAACACCTATAAACAGTGGTCTACTGATGGTATCCGTGATACACAATTACATAACAATGGCACCGCAATGTGGAGCATTCAATCTCAAAAGAGCATATGGATCCCAATACATTTGTATAGATAATAACTTGTGTAACAAAAGTTACGCGATCACTCACCCACATACACACAAGCATGTTACTATATCCCCTCCAACTTCATGGTGAGGGGATATTGAATTTTTTTTTTTTTTGATGAAATGTTTGTACTTGGAGAAGAAATGTACTTCTTGTAGAAAGTGTGAGATTGTATATTATTGGGAATAACTTTTCTCAAGAAAGTACCCGATAAGCAGAATTTTAGCGAGGATTCAATTTTGGCATTATTAGTGAGGGTTTTGAGGTCACTAACAATTTATTCCATATTGGTTACTATAGATATCTTTCTTGTCATTATAAAATTGCTAAAATTACTTCTCACTAAAAATGCTGTACCAATTTTTTTGGATAAATTGCTAAATTTGTGTCTCGCTAAAAATTCCACTTATATGGTATTGTAATGGATCCCTGTTTAATTGCCTGTGGCTGGTGAAATGAATGTTCAGACAATTGAAAACCAATATGTATACTGCTGAGGTCAATTGGAAAATTATTTTAAAAAAACTCTGCTTGTACAAAATAAACCTGCTGTAAGATCAATATCATACTGCTTGTCACTCAAGTGAGAAACAATATCTTGGTTTGATGGACAGACCAGTTACCCATGCTACATGAAAATCTGAGATCACTTGTTTTATTTATGAGTGTCTCAAGAACAGCAGTGCCACAGTTAATATTCAAGCATTCCCATATAGTGAAGATTCAGTTTTGCTCAGATGATGGCTGATTTGAACATAGTGATTGTGATCTTACATAGATAATATTACAATGACATATGAAAGGGGGGGGGGGGGGGGTAATGTGGTAGATGTTGTCCATCTTCTATTTGTAAAACAATTTTTTTTTATGCTCCAGAGTTCTCTCAGCTTACAAATTGATATACATTTAAAGTAGTCTGAAAACTAGAATTCCTTATTTGAAACCCTGTAATGGCTGTCAATTAAGACCGATTGTTTTCCTCTTATGGACTTCACTAGATACCTGTGTTGATGGGGATCTCCTGGGTATTTAGCTCTGTCTACAGTCCATTCTGAGGTATTTTTGTTGGAGAGGTTCCCCTGGGTATTTAGCTCTGTCTGTTGTCTGAGGTATGGTCTGGCAGTAGAAGGCTCTCAGAACAATTGATTTATTGACAAAGTTTCATCTTACCTTCTGATTTCCATACAGATGTTGCAGAATCTGAAAGACAATGGAGAGAAAATTCTGTCGGAAAATCTTATGATTAAGTTCCTTTAAGCAAAGATTATGATTGATTGATATATTGATCGAATGTTATTTTACATCCCATTCAAATTTTTTTGATTTTGATGTCTAGTGTACTTGTGAAGGAACAGTTACTGCCTATGTTAAATGCCAAAGGTTTGACATGGCATCAGGAACAAAAATTGAACCCGGCCAGGGCCTCCAAGTCACAAAGGGAGTGCCCAACCACTAGGATACTGTGAATGGTCTCAGTGAGTTGAGGAAAGACAATTAGAATAGAATTCAATACTCCCTCAATTTGATCCTGTCTATTACTTATTATCTCCCCTCCCCCTTCCAAGAAAAAAATGTTGAAGAAGGTATGAGGGCATGAGATTCATTATATTTAGATGTCTGTGCACATTAGGTTTGAATGGAGACGTAAAATGTCGGCTTGACACTGCCTTCCCATTTTACCAATTTGGAAATCATGCATCAACAATCGCCAAGAAAATCTAAAATATTGAGCATTTCAGAGCAATTTTTACAGGAAATACCTATAAACCTATAACAAACATAATCTGAAATTTTCAGTTCGATTGATAAAGTGATTGAGAAAAATCTCGAATAACCCCAGTTTTCAATTTGCCCCTGCATAGTGTTTGCCCACCCATTTTACCAACACTTGTTCAAGACCTATACATACCATGCATATGTATTACGTAAATGCAATACTGAACAATTATAGTAAATACATCAGGGTGAGAATGATAAGTCGTTAATATACACAAAAAATATCTTTTCCATTTTTTTAATTGCTTGTAACGAGATCAAGATTTGTTTTTCGTTGCAAAGTGACACTTTCTTTGCTTCACATTAATTTACTTTAAAATATTTCACTAAATGAATTTTTAACAATCAATCATGCATGTATTCAAAATAAATGTTCAACCCTTTCAAATAAAAAACATTTAAAAAAAAAAAATCTTTGATATGCTGCACATTTACTTTAAAAAAATTTAACTACAAATCTAATATCAACTCACATTAAAATGTTTTTTAAAAGTATGTCAAATATTGCATGGGAGAAAAAGGGAGAGAGCAGTACGTGAGTGAAAAAAACATGAAATATTACATACAAAAGGATGAATTAAAGAATATAAATACTCCTATGGTTGCAGTAAAATTTGATTTTTAAAAAAGTTTGTGATCTGATCTTTAGATCAAAATTAAAAACAAACGAGACATGAGGTTAAGGTAGACCACACTTGTAAAAGATAGGTCATACTATGTACTTAAACCATAAAGATAACTTGTGATTTAGTTTATAACCGTCAATGAAAATTCTCTTGATTACTTGCAATATGCAAGCAATTACTCAAATCAATGATTCAGTAAGAGCATGAGATTCTTATAAGTTTCAAGAAATCTGGATGATCGGATGCTGTTGTTTTACAACGCCTGTACTAAATATCATTCTTCACATTCCCCCCCCCCCCCCCCCCCCCCCCAAAAAAAATACCTACCTACCTAATCACATCTAAAATGATGGGTCGTGTTACTGCAAAAAAAAAAAAATAATAATTTTTTAAGGATGGCCTTGGTCATCAATTGAAAATACATTTTACATCTTTGATTTTTTTTTCCTTTACTCTTGGACATCAGCAGGCAATCTGTTGGGATGATTATAATAAGCATGAAGCCCTTTACCAAAATTTTGAAATTCATGATCCCTGGGTTCAGACTCCAGGGTGGTGCTAAGTTGGTCATATATTGAAAGTATATTAAATCTTTGAAAATCTTAATTACTCATTGGTATCTGGAAGACAAACTGTTTGTAAGATTATAATGAGCAGATAGCCCTCTGCAAAAATTATAAAATTTGTCCCCCTGGTCCAGAGATAGGTGCCAGGATGAGGCTTAATTGGTAATACACTGTATATTGAAATTGATCATAAAGTGTATCTTATCTTTACTCCTGAACTTCTAGGAGAAGCTTGTAAATTTGATAATGATTATTGAGTGACCTCACCCTACTGTTAATTTTTTTTTTCACATGAGGACAGAATTCCAGTTCCAGATAGGGCTAAAATTGTCATAGCTTGAGGAACTTGTGTTACTCAGGTGACCATCAAGGCCGTGGGCCTCTTGTTTAGAACTGTATTGGCCAGAAGCTCATCAGCAAGCTGTATATCAAATCAGCTAATGCAACTTAAAGATTATAAAACAAGGAACTATTACTAAAATTCTGTGGATATTGTAATCGAGATGTTAATCTTGTGCTTTCTGAAAGTACAAAAAAGCAGGAACTTCTTTGGATTATGACTGCATACCAGGGTTACTGTTTCCCTAATGTCTCCATTATTGGGTTTTCTCTGATGAACCAAGGACAGCTTTCAAAATCAAATTA